CTTCAACTCCCAGAATTCCCCAGCCAGCATGTCCATCTTAAAGTGGCCAAGTTTGGACAACACTGCTCTAGGACAATGTGAAGCCATAAGTGAGGGAGAGGGAGGACATGGTGATCCAAAATATGAGGTAGCAAGAGTGAGAAGAATATTTATGATGATTTGGAGAGCTGTTACCAAGTCAGAATGGACAGAACTGAGCTAGGTGGATCCCAATTCAAGATAAAGGAAATTTATAGAAAAGGAACAGTGGCACAGTGATAGAGCACAAGCACTGCAAGGAGAAGGTGCCAGCCGCATCTTCACATGGGAGAAAATTCTAATCTAAAACTCTGGAAAGCCATTGACAGGAAGTATCAACTTACTGTCCTCCAAATGTACAAGAACTAAAACTCCCAGGATCCCCAGCCAACATGGTCATAGCTGATGATAATACTGGACATTCTGGGAGTTGAGGTCCAACATGGAGAACAGCTGGTTGGGAAAGGCTTGTCTAAAAGACATTCAGCCAACCTCCCTCCACTTGAGACTTCAGGTATTTAGCGACAATCAGATTAGATGGACCAGCATCTCCTTCATAGGCATCACTAGTCTGTAATTATTCTGAAACCCCCAAAATGCCCTTTACACGTGTTCAGAGATCTTCATACTGAATCACCACACAGGTACACTGCTGATTGGCAACAGTTCTCTAAGGATTTGGATAGTCTTTCTCCTCATCTCTCTCATCTGGAGGTTGCTGGAACTTTTCTCCTGCAAAGGACATGCTCCACTCTGAGCTGTGGCTGCTGTGTAAAATGAGGGCTTTGCCCATATCCTAGACTAAGGCCTACCTCCTGACAACTGCTTCTGGAATGGCCAGCTTCAAATTAGTGCATCCGCGCGTGTGCACGCACACAAGTTCGTCCAAACAAATTCCTGTGAAGGAGCCTTTTTAAAGGAATGTCAGAAGAAGGCCGTCTGACAGTGAGTGGCTCCTATGTGACTGACAAATTGTACCCTTTCCCCAGACATTAACAAATGTCTTGGACAAAGTACAGCTGTGATGGAAAAGCAACTTGCTAATTAAAGGCACACAAGAATCTTCACAGGAAAGAAAAGTTTATATATCCAAAAGAAGAGGCAAATTAACACCTTTCTGTGCCAAGTGATCCTAGAGAAGCAGAAGTAGGGGTGGTAGTGGGGAGGGAGAATCACAGTCCCATTTTTCCTATTTTTAAGCCCTTATGATTATTTCAAAAATGCATAAATATCTCACAAAAAGCTAAGAAGAGTTGGAGTCTGTTAATATCCAGATAGGAGACCATGAGAAAATCACTGGGCTGGAGCTGGATGGGAAGTTGAAAAAACATGTGCAAAGAAGCTAATGGCACATCACTGTCATACTGTGGCCAGGAAAACGACACGGACTTCTCCATAAAGTCACCAAGAGTCAAGCTGGACCCAAGGAAGATTTTGCCTTATTTGCTAGAATCTCAAAAGCAAGACCACTGGGTAAATCATATTGCTACTAATTTTACATAAGGCTTCACTGTGCTTATTTAAGTCTTTTTCGCACAGCGGCATCTACAGCCAACCATCATGACACCAAAATGTCAACATGAGCATCATGTAATGTGAGCATCATGCAAATGCAAGATTAAGTACTTGCACCTCAATATCTGATACAAGGATGTCAGTTGAAGCATTTGAGTGACTTCATCACATACATGTTGTCCTTTGCCCATTGCAGACATGTTCATGGAGAGCAAAAGCAGTCACAGAACAATTCTGAACCCTGGGGGATTTGGAGGGGGGGATGTGGAAGCTGAAACGACAGAGTAACACTTCATACCCAGTTGGCTTGCACTGGTGGGAACTAAGGGGACTAGTTTTACTGGAGATTTATCAACTTCTGTTCTCATTAAATATTCCCCATCAGATATTGCCTTGTGTAGGTAATGGACTTCACCCTAGGAATGGAGGAGCTTGGGATCCACTGGATCCCATATAATCTGTAATTGTTTCCAGAGAAACACTGGTAAAAGGATGACGTAGGATATTACATGATCATCTTGGGGGTGGCCCATTCACTGAAGGTGTGCCAATTCTTCCACCCAGCAGATCAGGAATTAGGATTATTCTGCACATTGCACAACAAATGGTGACATGGGAAAAATAGGAAAATTGTACATAATTGCAGTATGCTTCAAATTGTAGCCGCTAATATTTCATCATCTTTTGCTTTTATGGTCAAGATTAATTTGGAGAAAAATGGGTATATACATCATAGAACATGCGGTAACCGCTGAGTAAACACAAGAGAGGTCAATTTCTAAGATGCTTCTAAAATATGTTTCCTTTTCTCACCATTTTATACCCATATATATTGATAAAATGCATATATATGAACAAGTAGTTCTGCATTCTACTTGGATGATGTGTTTCCAGCACACAGAAACACCTGGGTGCATCAGTAAAATGCTGACGAAAAGTAACTGCGATATATGATGCCATCAAGCTGACTTTTCTGTAATGTTTTATTCAAGTACATAGGTAATCAGAAGAGAAAAAAGATGCAAATGTACTGAAGCTTCAGAAAATTGTTCAGATCTAAAAAAAAATCTGATTAAAACAAGGTACACAAAAATGTGTATTTACAAGAAATACAAGGAAAAGGTATGTGCAGTTAAAAACTCTCCAGCAGGGGATGCAGAAGTAGGACAAACTTAACCTAATACTGCAAAAAAATGAAAAACTGAAAAAAATTGAAGTGTAAGGTTTGTCCATCCTAAAGGTCAAGAGAAAGGAAAGACAGGATAGAGGGATCCTAACTAATTTTCTGTAATGTGGGACAATGTAAGTAGGTCACTGACCGCATACTGAAGTTTTTCATTGCTAATCGTTCCTTGGTTCTTGGATTCAATTTTCTCTGGACCCTGCTCCAAAGAATTATTTCTCTACTATAACAATCCATCTCTGACATAGTAAATCCAGCTTTCTATCACAATTATTTGTATATTCCCTTGGGGTGGGAGTTGTGGATTCCCACAGATCCAGCGAATGGAGATAGAAAGTACATAGCCAGTTCAGCTCCTTCAATAATACATGAGCTGGAAAAAAAAACATTTATCGCACATTCTGTGGTGGAAATTCATTCTGCCTGTAGTTTCCCATGGACTTCAAACAACAACAAAATAATTCAAAACTGTGCAAAATGTATCTGACCCTGGCAACTGCTGCAGAGACTTCACCATGGGACTCAAAACATTGCATCTCCAAATTATGTCATCGGAGTATTTTGTGTCAAAAGAAATGAAAAGTGAATCCCTTAAATTAACATGTTGGCACAAAGTCCAAACTATTTTAAACATAAAGCAACTGTGGTGGGTGGAAGTTAATGATGGGTACTGTGGAAACGTGTTTTAATCCTGTGCCCCCATGTTGTTCTTTGATGGAACTCATTCCTTGGGGATGACCCTACGTTGTATTATTTTGTTCACGTTTAACAGAGTTTGTGGGGTGTACTGCACCTCAATTATGGAACGCCATTCCTCTCCAGTTCTGGTTGGTGCTGAGACTAATTCGCTTTTGGTGTTCGCTGAAGAGCCTACCTGTTTGCTTAAGGCTTTGGGTTAAGCTTATGATCCTGGCTCAGTTAACTGTTCCCATGCTTCTGTTTTATGGTTTTCACTTCATAACTGTGGACAGTTTCCCTGGCTTCTTTCATTCCACCCTGCTTGGGAGTTGTCTTTAATAAAAAGCAGGCTAAACTTGGCCATAAATAAATAGTGCAGCTGGTTATATCATACTAGTTTGCCATATTAGTAGGTATAGTTGTGTGTGCATACAAGGTTTGGGGGGGAAACCCTACAAAATTCTATAAGGATGCTGTGCTGTGATTGACCTGCATTTTTCAATTAACACCTGGAAGAGAGGCTGCTTAAACAAGCTAGCTCTTCCAATTTACTCTTGCAAGCTGTGAGATAACAAACCTCCAGCTCTAACCCCAATCAGATAATTATTTCCCTCCTCATTAATGTCTAAGCTGAGCAACTCTGGGGGTAGAGGGGGAAAGAGAGGTGCAGGGCTATAAAACTTGTCCACCAAAAGCAACTCGTTTGTGAGTTGAATTCTGGAGACTGTCTCCCCAACTCCCACCAGGCTCTCAGTTGCAACTGGAGGAGGGCCCTTGGTGTTGTAAGTAATTAATGGGGACAATTTAAATAAACATGATGCTGTTTGTCTCGGTCCAAGCACCTCTTTTAATGTCCTCCTGCTTCAGCATTCATCCTGCAAGTTCTACATTAGCTGGCAATACAAGACTTTCAGAAAACAGGTGCCAAAACAGCAGAGCAAATTGAGAACAATACTATCACCTGACAGCCATAGCAATAGGATTGTTTTTTAAAAAATGAATTGTATATTCAATTTTTAATATAATTTGAAAGGGAGCTAGATTGGTGCAGCGGTTAAAGCACCAGGCTAGGAACTGGGGGACTGGGAATTCTAGCCCCGCCTTAGGTACAAAGCCAGCTGGGTGACTTTGAGCCAGTCACTCTCTCTCAGCTTTAGGAAGGAGGCAAGGGCAAACCACTTCCGAAATCTTGCCAAGAAAACTGTAGGGAAAACTGTAGGGACTTGTCCAGGCAGTTGCCAGGAATCAACACTGACTTGAAGGCACAATCAATCAATCAATTTACAAACCCATTGGGGAAGATTTTAAATCTATGCCTGACAAGTTCCAACAAGAATGCATAGTGCCTCCTAGTGGTCAGTAGTGAACATAACCACTATAATATAAAGCTATATTTATATATAGCTTTTATTTTATTTTTATTTATAATATAAAGCTATATTTATATATACCCTTGAGAGGAGGTCTTGAGGCTTTTAGTATGAGGCCCAGACAAGTTAGCTCCTATAGCTCTTTAGTCTGAAAGTGCAAATGAACAAGAAAGGAAGGTGTACCATTCATAGCATCTAGATGATGGTTTGTAATTTAGCCAACCAATCCACTGTCAGAAATCATGGTTTCAATGGGGTTTCAATCATGGTTTGTGATTCTAATGATTCAGCAAATTATCAGCAAACTGATAAACCAGGATTTATAACTGGCTAGCAAATCAGAAGCATTTATTACGGCTTGAAGGAGTATGATTTTTAGAAATGGTATTAAACTCGAGTTCCTTCGAAGCTGTGCTGATATTGTTTCATTCCATGTTTCATCAGCCCCAACTAAGTATGGCTAGTAGACAGGCATAGTGGGAGCTGAAATCCAAAAGGGCCACCATTTTTTCAACCTTGTTTTAAACAGTCCAAGTTTTCCTTGGACTGGATAATAGATAATGATTCATTATATGGAGCTGTCTAATACAGTGTCAGATACTTCCTTTAAGCACTGTGCTATATTAGTGTATCCTTGACAACGTAAGAACCAGTCAAGTGGATTTGCACATCATTAAGCCATGGGTTGTTTAACCATAAGTTACAGAATAAGCCACAAATAGCACAGTGGCTAAACACAATATACTAAACCATAATCTAAGATGGAAATGATCTGAAGGGCTTGTAACAGGTTGCCTCTCCTTTGAGGCTGCCTAACATGAGTCCCTGACATTCTTTTCCAAAGATGACTTGGAAACAGGGGTGCCCACAGGGAGGCTCAAAAACCCCAGGATGGTAGCCATGATTCTAAATCAGTGTTTGTCAACCTTAGCAACGTTAAGATATGTGGATTTTAACTCTGAGAATTCTCCAGCCAGCCATGCTGGCTGGGGAATTCTGGGAGTTGAAGTCCACATATCTTAACGTTGCTAAGGTTGACAAACACTGCTCTAAATCTAGGCCCTGGTCCTTTTTACACGTGTTCAATGTGATGCATTGTAAAAAAGGGTGAGGCATCAATTGTGTGGTTATGGCCACCATCTTCTCTCTCTTAGTCTCTCTCTCTCTCACACACACACACACCCCACAGATAACCCAGCTTGGAAACCTTGGCTGACATCTTTTATTTAATAATAAAAATGAACAGAATTGTCATAGGCTCACATTTGTCCCTCAGGGGTGTACGTGGACCCAGTGATGGTGAACTCGTGCAAGCTGCAGTGACTGTCCTCAATCTTCTCCACAACGAACATCTGCAACAAAGGAAGGAAGGAAGGAAGGAAGGGAGAGCAATTAGAAGATTGCACTGTTGAAGGGCCATTTACAAGTCGGTTTGTTTTAAAGCATCTGTTCATCGTTTTGCGCTGGCAGAAACCATGATTAGCTTTAATTACACTTGGTCTGAATAAACCAGCTTAAAATTGTGTCTTACAATTCTAATTAAACCATAGCTCAAACCACATGTATTTCCCAGTTTGGACAGTAGTCCTAACAGCAGCTTCTGATCTTCTGAGATGCCAGAGGAAGAGATAAGGGGTCAACTGTGTATCACAGAATCACAGATGGTTGCATTCAGAGTTCACGTTCAAGCTTTGCTAGCACTAACTATACAGAGATAAGAAGTAGCAAGGGAGATAAAGCCAACTGTCTACTAGTCCAGTGTTCTGTTCCCACAATGACCGCCTACGCATTCACAAGCAAGGGATATGCATAATGACACCTTCAGTGGTAAGGAAAGCTATATTGTCTCTAATATTGCTTATGTGATTTAGATATTGTGACAACGAGCTCTTAGCATACAGCTAAGGTGTGGGAATACTGGTATCTTATTTTGATTTTATTATATTCTTTCTTTTTCTTAGGCTGTTTTTTTCCTAAGGAGCTCTGGTTGGTTGTTTTCTACCACTCTAAATGGGGGATTTGAACCTGGATCTCCCTGGTCTTAGTTTAGTACTTAGCCACACCTTCTCCTCACTGCTTATTCTTCACCTAGCAAAGATTCCACAGAATTCAACATTATTAGTACTATTTCAACAAACTACGATATTGTAGCCAAAACTTGTTAAGACAGGAAGAAATTTGTCCGAAGACTTACTAATTAATTCTTGCTGTTTTGATAGATGAATGCAACAGTTTACTCAAGGAAGCCTGGAATTTCAGAACACCTACAATCTCTAGATCTATACCTACAAAGATCAGAATTGTGCAAACCATGGTATTCCCTGTACAGAAGTGAAAGTTGGACTTTGAAGAAGCAAGATAGAAAGAGTATTGATGCCTTTGAACTTTGGTGTTGGAGAAGACTCCTAAGAATACCGTGGGCAGCCAGGAAAACAAACCAATGGATCATTGAGCAAATCAACCCAGAGTTCTCACTCAAGGCACAAATGACCAGCCTCAAATTATCCTACTTTGGACATATTATGCAAAGACCCACCTCTCTGGAAAAGGCTCTAATGCTAGGAAAGGTGGAAGGAAAGAGGAAGAGGACGACCAGCAGCAAGATGGATGGGTTTAGTTACAGCAGCAATGACAGTACCATTGGGAGACTTGAAAGAACAGGTTAGGGGCAGATAGTCATGGAGAAAATCTATCTATGTGGTCGCCAGAAGTCAAAAACAACTTGACGGCTCATAATCAATCAATCTATGGTCTCTAGAGAAGCCCTAAAAAGATGCTACTACAATTATCCCGAGTTGTTTTCAAATGGCCACATGTTGCATGATCTGCCATTTTTGTGTATCTCCATGTGTGAATGATCCTATGCTTCTTGCATTTATCAGCACACATGAGAACATTTTTTTGTCCGAAAGGTAGAAGGCGATACCAACAAGTTCATTCACCAGCTCGCCAGGGCAAATGCATCCAGCCCTCTGGTAAGCAGGCCATCCAAAGCCTCTTAGATCCTCACACCAGAGATTTAATTTCACCACAGAGCGTGAGGAGCCTTTTTTAAACGTTTCCTCCATGCGGTCTTGACAAGAATCCCCGAGCTCCTTCCAACATCTTGCAGACCTTTGCATAGAGAAACAACAGGGAGATCCTGTTCAGCAGCTACTAAAATTTAAATAACTGTGCATGCTGTTAATTGCTTACATGCAATTAACATCTAGTGGAACCAAAGTGTGATGATCTTTTTAGAAAGATTAACAGAAGTTATCCAACCCTAAGCCAAATCAGACTATTATATTGAATTCCTCACAGTGGGATGGGACCTTCTGAAATGTCGCCGCCCTGCCGTTAAACTCAGGATGCTTCCAGAAAGCCAAAAGTGAACAAAGCCTTTTGCCCTTTCTGCTACAAAAGGCTGAAAAGAAAAATGTTCCTTTTCAGCTATATCCCACTTCCATTTCTAAAATTAGGGAACAAGGAGCAAACTGCAAGGCCAGTCAGTTCTCTATCCCTCTGTGGGTGGAGATGAAAGCTTATTCAAAAAAATGGAGGGGGTCCAAAGCATTCCTGTTAGAGATATGTCTCTGGTAAAACAGGGTATCATATAGGTTCAGAGCACATGATTCTGCAGGGCAGACCGTGCCCAGGGCCAGCTCTAGACATTTTGGCTCTCTAGGCAAAGACATATCCTGGTGCCCCCATGGTTTGGCTCATCTTCTGTTTTTGTTAAGAATTTCAAAAAGGTGCCCTGTTGTTTCTTTTTTTCTTCAAGTTTTTGAGCTTTACACTTATGATTTTCAGCTCCAGACAATTTTTTTTCTTTCTTCGGACATTTTCACCCTGTGAAATCACAGTATTTTAATTACATCAGCGCCCATTGTTGTCATATAGCAACAACTCTGCAAAATTATATTTAACCCTCGAGCGGGCACACTAGCACACGGTTACTGCTTTTCCGGGTATAACTTTGATAAGCTGATAAGTCACGCCATTCGCTCGCTCAGCACCTACCTATCAGACCTTTGGCAATATTATCACTTCCTGAAGTCCATAGCTGTAATAATAATTTCTTTTTTGTGATTCGCAACATCTGGTCAGTGTACTATTCACTACTACCCAACTGATTTTGCAGGTAAGTGTTTTCAAAAAGTGTAGAAAGAAAATGTTCTAAAGCAACAAGGAAAGTTCATCAGATTTTATACTCATATTGTGTATTTCAGATGTCTTTTGGATGTTGGTGCCCCTAAAATTTGGCACCCTAATTGACTGCCTAGGTTAGTGTTGGTCCAAAAGGGGCCCCGCTCTTATTGGGGGGATGTCGTCCACCCTAACTCACCCATCCAAACAGCCTGGTGGGCTGGGTCT